ACAAATTATCAGAAGAATGTGCTAGAAAAGGGAAATATTGATCTGGTAAATGGAGCGAAAAGGGGGATAGTATTAATATAGAGCGCTGACTAACTTCTTGCGAAAATCGGAAAACCACCACCTATCATTATATGAAAGCTATTTTCTTCATTTCCTTGGGACGTACTCAAGAATCTTTAGTTTATTGGGTAACATTCGGGCGTTGAGTTTATTTTTTGTCATGGGCCTACAGATGTAATTAATTGTATATAAAAGCTCTCTTAAAGTTAAGCCAAAATTAAAGTAGTCTAATAAGGAATTTAAGTTATTGGGCTTTGGGCATCTAAATAAAGTGACCAGATTTCTTTAATATTGTATTTCATGATGAGCAAGATACATATAAAAACTATGAGGGTATTTAGTAAGGATTAAAATTATATTTTTTAATAGATTGTATAAAAGTTTTTGAAATGTGTGATTGAAAAGTTGTAGGACCGTAAAAGATGTGATTAATATTAATTATTTAACTTTGACTTAGATTAAAATCAAATTTTAATCCAAATCAAACAAGCCCTATAGTGTCATGGTCCCCTAATTCATATGCAGCTTTTTCATTCTTTAAGTCATCCAATCAACACAAAACACAAGCAAAAGCATATTGAAGAAAAAGATCAAAAACTCACAATCAAGAACGGGCAATCTACAATCAAGAATTAAGAAGGAATTCAATAATCAATATCATGGAGCAAGAAAACAAAATCAAGATCAAGAACTCAAGAATCAAAAAAGTCAATATTCAAGATTCAAGATCCAAAATTAAGATCCCGTAATAAGTAATCATTTTCAAAAAATTAAGGTATGCTCCAATTACTAATTTTGATGATGATTTGTCATGGAGAATCTTAGCAATAAAGTAATTAGGTTTTCAAGTATTTGAGATTTAGAGTTCCAAATAAATTCTAACATCGAGCATTATAAAAACAGACAAATGCGTATAATAAATGCTACAAATAAGTAAGACAAACTATAATGCAACTACAATATTATACCTCAATAGTGCAGTGCCGCAAAAATCTTCCTGGAGGTGGAGGGGTAGCCTCCCGCCAACATACATCAAGAAAAACTTCTGCAGGTAACTTATATCCCCTTTTGGAGACTGCATCCATAAAATTGCATTCATGTGCAATCTTGATTAAATAACACCATCAATTTATAAAAAATTTACCTTATATGGATTAAATTTATGCCGTATTTGGTACATAGGACTGAACAGTATGCAAGAGTATTGAGGGAAAAATAAAATTAAAATCTTGTTATAGAGACCTCTTGGGGAAGGGGTCTTCTCACCTGTACGGATTGTTGATAAAGAGAGAATTTTGACGGAAGATCATTGTTGATTGATAGGTTTTTATCAAAATTTGTTTCTTTTTCCTGGATTTCTTCTTCTTGGGATTCTTTATCAGATTCAGAAAGAGTGGGTTCTTGAGCAGAAGTAGTTTGTGGGCTTAATGGGTACTGTTGTATTTCTTCATCTGGTTTTTCAAGATAGTATGAGGCTGTTCTTCCTTGGCGGTTATGGCGGTGACTCTGCTTCTTCCCGTGCTTCCCCATTTAAAGAAAGCCGCCGGCGACGTGTAGAGAGTCAACAAGTCTGTCCGAAGCCGAAAAGTAAGTTATTATACTTTTCTTTTTCTTCATTTCCTTTTTATTTTTTATTTTCGAGCTTTATTTGAATTTGATTTTCGCCTAGGTTTTCCAATATAGGCCTTGTTTGAGCCCGTCATCTCTAAAATACATTTTTCTATATTCTATTTAATCACATTTTTTTAATAATATTACATGTAAATTTAAATTTAAATTTTTTTTTAATCATATATTCCCTGTCAATCTACTATTTCAAAGTAAATTCTATACAAAAAATGTGACTCAAACAGATTGATAGTCATCATCAAATAACATGTTTGGGAGTGTCTTTTTAAATAGAGGTCTGTTATATGTCCTTCTAAATAATTATAAGTAGGATTAAGCCCTTTGCGTCCCGCTGACCCTCGACAGTGTAGCAGGGTCCGTATAAGCAATGGACCATGTAGATAATAAGTAGGTCATAACTATGAATTTCATGTATCATGTAGATAAAAAAATATAAGGCCAGGTTAATACATAACTTAAACTTTATCAAACAAGTACTAAATTCCTGAAGTGATATCACATAGGTCTGTGTTCGATAGAGTCTTTTTTAGATTCTAATTTGATCAAATTTTATTTTTATCTACACAATTCATTGGATTCATGAATTTTATCTACTTTTGATCCCATATTTCATGGGTAATATCAACTTATATTCTTAAAAACGTTATTCATCTAGGGACCAAATCCAATCTTGTTACATTGCCAAATAATTTTAATAGCATGAACGATAGAATGCTCCATGATATCATATCATTTGACTGTTTTAAACATAGTTAACACTGTCATCCAATTATTACTTGCACACAACTTCATTTGTCAACGAAGATGTTAAATTCCTACGACAAAACAGCATAATTCAAATCTCAATTGACACTTGGCCATTTTTCATCCAAGTTTCAATCATGATATTTTCTTTTTTAATGTGCATCTCTTGGTGTTTCTATGGGTATTTTGTCTATGTTATTTTATAGTTTACGTTAAATTTATTTGTTTTAATAAGTTGAATGTTGTGATCATTAACAAAACATTGTTAAAAAAGCGAAAACTCAGTCCACGATAACAGTATTATTAAGTCATGGACATAATCTTTTAGGAATTTTTGTTTCCTTATTTGATAGTTATTAGTCATCCGTTGGATGGATCAATCATGGATAATATAACTCCTTTCCTATGTCATCGGTGGAACTTGAGAGTTTGAACTTGAACAAATTATATAACATCGACATGCTCAAGATGAACATTTTGGTGATATTTATCCAAAGGGGTAGAAACCTTCCAAAAGAGTGGCAAGTGCCATATATTCAAATCCTTTGATTTTCAATGCGACTTACCCTACTTTACAAGTTGAATATACTTTTCATAAGCCGGTAGCAAATGCCTATTTACCAAGTCAAACAATTATGAGTTTGTGTCAAGATATAGAGAGTTTCCTTAACATAAAACATCTTATCTGCATTCGTATAAGCTATGTCCTTGTATGTTCCATCTTTACATGGCTTTGAAGTTTCAAGAACGATAATGTTTTGACGCATTTTGATATTACGAGTGTCTAGAATCAATCCTCAATTTAAATTATTGTTACAAGATAAGACTCTTCAAGATTTATTGAAGTTTTTCTTATATTAGCTAATGTTTCAAAGTAATAGAAAGAAAAACAATAATCATTATTTGATACACAAATTCAATTGTTCATATTATTTGACACTCAAGCCTAATCATTATTTAAAAATTGTATAATTAGGTTCAGAAATGAGTTTTAAAAAATATGTACACCTGAAAAATTATATTAATTATACACATTTAATTGACAATTATCAGTAAAACAAGTTATAGACAATTCAATTCCATTGTATTCGTTTTCATTTTATCACAATAATGAAAATTGAGTGGAAAGAAAACGAATTCAATGGAATTGAATTGCCTAGAACTTATTTTACTTAAAATTGTCAATTAAGCCCTTGTTTGAGCCCCATTTTGAATGGAAAAATGAAATTTTGAATAGTGTATTGATGAAAATGTGTGGTTAAAAAATAAGAAAAAATTTTGAATTTACGTGTAATATTATTTTATTAAATAATATGTGATTAAAATAATGTCAAAACACTATAAAATTCATTTTTTCTAAAAAATGGGGATCAAACAAGGGCTAAATGTGTTTGATTGTATAATTTTTTACTTGAAAAATGTTGAAATTTTAGATCTTTTAATGTTCGTTTAACTTTATTTTTCATGAAAATTGAAATAGAATTTGTTTCCATTGAAAAAAAAAAAAGCTGGAAAAATCAATTTTCACCAAACCCATGAAACGTGGAGGGGGGAATGAAAATGAATTGCCAAGAAAAAAGGTGGTATTTTCACGAAAAATATGATGAATCAAACAGGCCCTAATATTAATATTTTATTGTGTGAACCTGTTATTGAAATTGATCACACGATACAGACATGGCTAAAATTTATTTTAACAAAAAGCAAGCATGAGGACCATTTGCAAACCATCTGACTTTTCTTGAGCCGAATGTAAATGCGAACGACGAGTATTTTGGCCAGGGCTCTTACGATTATTATTATTAACCCACGTATTATCCTATCCCCAATAAATCAATTCAAACTTCAACCCTAAGTAATTCCAAAACCAGAAAATCAAAACGCTGAATTTCTTATTGGAAAACAACTCAAATTCTCGATCTATCAAACCCACATCTCAAGATATCAAAAGGCCAAAATTTTTTTACACGGATATATATAAATAATCGTGTGCACATATATATTTTTTTGTTTATGATTTAACATGTACAGTAATTTCAAGGAGCAAGCGATCGAGTATGTGCGGCAGGCAGTGGCGGAGGACAATGCGGGGAACTACTCCAAGGCCTTCCCTCTGTATATGAATGCTTTGGAGTATTTTAGGACCCATTTAAAGTATGAAAAGAACCCAAAAATAAAGGAGGCGATTACTCAAAAGTTTACGGAGTACTTGCGCAGGGCGGAGGAGATCCGGGCCGTTTTGGATGAGGGCGGGTCGGGGCCAGCGTCTAATGGGGATGCGGCTGTGGCTACTCGGCCCAAGACCAAGCCGAAGGATGGGAACGACGGGGAGGATGCGGATAAGGAGAAGCTGAGGTCTGGGTTGAACTCGGCTATTATCAGGGAGAAGCCTAATATTAAGTGGAATGATGTAGCTGGATTGGAAAGCGCTAAACAGGCGCTCCAGGAGGCCGTCATCTTGCCCGTCAAGTTCCCTCAGTTTTTCACTGGTAATTCACTTGTTTTGGCCCTTTTGTTTTGGTCAACGGTTTTTCAGTGGTTATTTTTTGTGTATATGGTTATGTATTTGCGATGGAAGAATTTAACTATTTTGTTGTTTATTCAATTAAAGGCTTGATTTGATGGTTGAGATTGGTGGTGAAAAATTCGGAGTTCTACTTAAATTAGTTGAACAAATAGGCAAAATGATGGAGTAGGAGGAATAGTGATTAGGCTCCCGTTTGACCCCCATTACCTGAAAATGAAAATGAGGGAATAGTATTTTTTAGAAAAATGAGTGGTTGAAAAAGAAGGAAAATTTTTCTTTTTCGATTTATGTGCAATATTATTTTATGAAAGATTGTGTGGTTGAAAATAGGAAAGAGAAAAATGGAATGTAAGGTAAGGTAATTGAATTTAATGGGGATCAAACGGGGGCTAGATGAGTTGTAGTTGTCATATCTCGACTTGACAATGAGCCCCTGTTTGGTCCCCTATTATTTCAAATTTCAATGGATGGAATAGTATTTTTTTGGAGAATGGATGGTTCCAAAAGAAGAAAAAGTTTTCAATTGACTTGTAATATTATTTTATGGAAGATTGTGTGGTTGAAAATAGGAGAGAGGAAAATATAATTTGATTTAATGAGGGCCAAATGAAGGCCGAAATAATGAGCTAGATTTCATTGAATTTTATTTATTTGGTGATATCCAGTGTTAGCAATAGGAATTCAGCTCCATCTGTTGTTTATATTGCAAAATGATGTTGAATCTTTTAGTCATTACTTCTTTTGCCTCCCACGGAAACATCACAAATTCACTTGTGAAGAAGTGAAATGAAGTAAAATTTTCAGTATGATTATTAGGACATATCCTTAAATGCAACAATGCATTTTACAAATCAGTTTTTCAGATAGTATGGCTAGATTGTTGTGTTTGAGCATAAGTGGACTAGGTGCTGTTTGAATTTCGTTCGGACTTTATTGTTAGTGTGAATCATTATCATGTACATGACCAACTTTTCCTAATCAATTACTTAATTCTTCTTAGATGTTTTCTGCTCTTCTCCTTCCTATTGCCACACTATCCAATTCTAACTGCACTAGTAATTTTGTGATGAGTTTAGTTGCAAGCATAATTTTCGTCTTTGCAGTTGAGAGTTGGAAGGATATGAGAGGCATCAAAATTCATCTCTTTTAGATAATACTAGATGATTTATAGCTGTAAGACTAAGGGCAGAGGCTGCTTCCTTTATATAGTTATTCTGACTCTGGCGCTGGTTACCATCTCAATATTCGCTTTAGGGATGCACACCAGTATGATATGTTAGTGAAATCCAGTTGGATTGCCATACTTCCTTGGACACTAAGTCTGTTCCTGAGTTCCATGGGTAATATCCTATTTAGGGGAAAAAACTACATATATGAGAGCAGTTAGGCAGCAGGAGTTACTTCTGTAGATGATTTTTAGCATTTCAGGCAGGAGATGTTCGCTTCTTTTTTGCACAGTCTCTCTTAAAACCCAAACTGGTAGATGCATACTGATATGTATAAGTTATTAACATGGTGGTTCAATAAGATTCTATATCTTTCCTTTGCCTGCTGGTCGATACCGTACCACAAGCACTACTAACAGAATGCCATCTCAAGTTCTATAATGCTTTGTAGCTTGCTAGTTCTCTCTGGACAAGAAATTACGGTTTCCCCGTATTTTGATGATTAAAATTGAAGAATTAACTAATCAGATCTAGCCTGGGGAACTGAGGTTGATTTCTCAGCTTTCAGTGAATATGAATGAGTGTCTCTGGACAGGAAAACCTTATGAAGAAATTTGGTTTGCTTGTGGTGGCATATTCAGTATAGTTCATCTAGTGCTTATAGGATTTCTGTCTTTGTCTGTGTGAGTAGAGTTCCTGAAAAAAAATTTAATTAATGTATATGTAAAATAGAAAATACTCAGAGAAAGAAAAACCCTGCTGAGAAGTGAGGAGAAAACTTGGGAGAAACTGGGTTTAGAAGTAGCGTCTAGCTTCTAGATGATGTTCGAAACACATTTTCACAACGAGAACTTGAATTTCCAGTTATATCACTTGACCATTTTTAAAGAATTTGAGCAAACTTGCCCTTTACCAACCCTACATTGAATTGCTTCTCATGTAGATAGTTCAGTTCTGACAACCTGATCCCTCCCCCCACCCAGAAAAAGAAGATAAAAGAAAATGAAAGATGAAGAAAGCATAAAATGTCAATCTTATTCTTACCAAGTTTTCAGCAATCTCTCATTGATCATGGTTTTGGAGGAAAAAATTTAGGACAAATATGTTTATATATTCCAATTTTGATTTATGATCTCTCGTTTTTGTAGGTAAGAGGCGCCCATGGAGGGCTTTCCTTTTGTATGGTCCACCTGGAACAGGAAAGTCATATTTGGCTAAGGCTGTTGCTACCGAAGCTGACTCGACCTTTTTCAGGTTACTTGTCTATCCTCAAATACAGTCTTATTTCATCTGTAGAAATACTTAATATGTGAAGCTGCCCTTGCATCTTGTATTTATTACTACTTCGCTTTAATTTATCATGCATGTTCATGTCTTCGTCTGGACTTAAGAGTCCCAAAAAATTTTTAGTTTCTATTTGGTGATTATTTTTTCATGACCAAGGGAGCATTATTCTCCATCTGCTGCATCTGCTCCTTCATTTTGACACTGTTTTCAAGTTAATATTTTGATACTGGTTGTTGTTGGCATTTTAATAACACATGATTATTTGTTGCTTAATGCAATGTTCATATACAAGTTCGCTCTTTTATTTGTTGAGTTTAATGTGCGAGGAGCTTCCAACTGAAAAGAGATTGTATTCTGCAAGTCTTATGATGGCTGGCTTATAACCTACACGTTGAGTTACTATTTTACTACCTAGGTTCATTGAAAATGGTTATAGACTCATTGCTATATTTTTGCTTTTAAATATAATAGCCTGGCCTGAAGAATAGTACTGGCATCTAACTCACCTTATTTTGTTTATCCATTATTTTGCTTTCCAATTATTTTCAGCTCGTCTGATGTTTGTATTAGTTACAACTATTTTTTGAGGAGTGCTAGATAGATTCAGGATCAAGAAGGAATGTTAAGTTGGGAATGGGGGCAGGAAATAACCCATAATTCAGGCTAATTGGGGCAGGCACTTGTATGTTTTGGCACCATTTTATCCTCTTCCTAAATAATCGCCATCCTCCACAACAACAAAAAAAAAATTAAAAAAAAATAATAATAATAATAAATAAATAAATAAATTGTGTATGGGGTCTTTTGTAGGTCCCTGAGACTTTTTGTTACCCTCTCGTCCCCTCACCTGCATTGACCTAGATGGATGCAAGTTCCTGGAGTAGATTGTGGAGGTACATTAATGACTGTAGCACATGCATTTGGAGATAAGTCTTCAGTTATTTATGTGATTTTGTGAGGGCTTTTCTAGGCTGGGTTTTCGAAGGATGGTGATGCATCAAAGGGTGTCTGCTGGACATTTTAAGTAAAAGGTCTTAGCTTGAGATTCCTTCCTCATGCATATTGTGATTGGGTATGATTGTGCACATTTTCGCTATGTAGTCTGATGAATCCTCCATGTTTCCACCACTTCTTGCTTATGTTTATCTTGAGAGACTGGGTAATGGCAGTTTGAATGGAATACTTCTAATCTATAAGACAAACTCATGTCTGTAATTGTCTGATGCCCTGGCATCTTGTCTCTCTTGAGTGTGATGGGTGGTCAAAGTTGAGTTTGTTTAATTGCTTCTTCACCTCCGCCTTTTCCTAGACTACCATTATGAAATTTGATGTCTGTAGACTGTCAATACATTTACTTTCTTGAATGTTATGTCTGGAACTGGCATTGGGATGTAGAACCATGGGTGCAACCTAATCGTTTTCATCATATATGACCTCTTTTGAGGAACGGATTACTTTTCAACAAAGGCATGACCGACTGACTGTTATCATTATGGAAGAAAAAGTGCCTAATTGGTGTCTCATTCAGGGAGATTTTTTTTTTATTATTTTATTTTATTTTATTTTTTCTTCATAGCCACTGTTAACTTGACAATATGTTGTCAGGTGCTTGCAATAAGAGAATGGAGTTCTTCATTCTCTTCTTGTTCTTTCATACGCTATTTTATTTTTCAGATATTTCAATGATTCAGAACTTAGGCCACTAAGTTGGCAATTGCCAACTTCTGTTCCTTTGCAGTGTTTCTTCTTCAGACTTGGTTTCAAAGTGGATGGGTGAAAGCGAGAAGCTAGTTTCAAATCTCTTCCAAATGTCTCGTGAAAGTTCTCCTTCCATTATATTCATCGATGAAATAGATTCCCTTTGTGGCCAACGCGGAGAAGGAAATGAGAGTGAAGCTTCTAGAAGAATAAAAACGGAACTGCTTGTGCAGATGCAGGTAATGTCATGTAATGAAAAAAGATTCATTGAGCTGACCCAAATTTATAGGTAGTAAGATTAGATTTTTATTTTTTTTTATTTATTTATGTTGTCTCTCATAATGACAGTCAAAAGTTTTTAAAACATTTTTCTCTTCTTTTCTCTGGTGATGCTGGTTCTTATCTCCTATTAATTCTAGGGGGTTGGCCACAATGATGATAAAGTTCTTGTACTTGCTGCCACAAACACTCCTTATGCTCTTGATCAGGTAACAGCTATTAATACTATTCGGGCACAGTATGGGTTTGCAATAATTTTTACCGAATAAATATTTTTCTTTTAGGCTATCCGGCGACGATTCGATAAGCGTATTTACATACCTCTCCCAGATCTGAAGGCACGGCAACACATGTTCAAGGTATGGAACTTGTCTTGTGCCTAATGAACAAAGAGAGTTGAATGAAGATTAACACGCACTCTCTTGTGTATATTGTCACTCTTATGCAGGTGCATTTGGGAGATACCCCTAACAATTTGACCGAGAGAGATTTTGAAAACCTGGCTCGTAAAACTGAAGGATTCTCTGGTTCAGATATTTCTGTCTGTGTAAGTGTGTGGCTGATATATTGAAAAACTAATGTTAAATAGAACTCCTTTCGATATTGGGTGGTTGCCCATACTTTTTCAACTTATTTTGAAGTCCATTTTACGAGTTTGACAGGTTAAGGATGTCCTATTTGAGCCTGTACGGAAGACGCAAGATGCCATGTTTTTCATCAAGACTTCTAACGGTATGTGGATGCCATGTGGACCAAAGCAATCAGGTGCCGTCCAGATATCAATGCAAGAGCTTGCTGCTCAAGGACTTGCTTCACAGGTATTGGATTTGATTATTGAACCACTGTTTGTGACTTAAACCTCAAGTCCTTCGTACGTTGTTTTTAAATAATTTTTATAAGTTGCATTGACGGAAAACTGGCCCTTGCTGGCTGGTGTAGTAGGGCCTGAACCTAGCAGATTTAGGGTCCCCCCCCCCCTTACCTTTAATTATCTTATCCTGACCGAAACTATTTCTAGAAATTGAGTGTTTCTTGGTACATCGGACTGACTATTCTATTGATTAATGCCCTTTCGCAGATCGTTCCACCTCCGATATCAAAAGTGGACTTTGATAAGGTTCTTGCAAGACAGAGGCCAACGGTGAGCAAAGCTGACCTTGACGTTCATGAGCGTTTCACAGAGGAGTTCGGCGAGGAAGGGTGAGAAAGTCGAGGTGCATAGCTGCTACTATTCATGCAATTGCTGGCATTTGTATTTTATGTGTTTCTACTGTTTTCAAACATAAACCGCCTCTTTAGGCAGGAAAGTGACATGACTGCCGCTTTCCCTCGTATCGAGCTGGAAAATGAGCTGACTTCTCAAATTGCCTTTACTAATTTGTGTACAAGCGCGAAGAATATTGCCTGAAAACGATGTTAATATTTATGGATGTGCAATTCTGGTTGCAAATATCAAAGATTTGTTCCATCATAATTAAGCTATGAAGGCTTTGTCCTTTGATTTGTTCACTTCCTATGGGACAAGTTCTTTCATGGACGTGTAAGGGGGCCCTACCTTTTTCCTTTTTGTTTGTGAGTCAAAATGCTAGGTTTGTCCTTACAATGATATAGCATTTCTTCGACAACTTTTATAAGACAAATAAGTTTGATAAAGATGAAGTCAGTATAAAAGATTCATGAATATTTGGAACATTTCATTTTTTTAGCAGAATAATCATTTGCAAGTAGTGATCGATCAATTACGTACTAATCTATATTCAATTGATTGGTTTGAGGTTAACGACAAAATAAAATGTCAAAAGTTGTAGGTATTATTGCAAGAAAATCGATTGGAGTACTGGGTACTCAATTAATGTTAAGAACTTTTCATATTGATTTAGTATTTACAGTGGGTATTGCAAGACCGCTAGTTGGGGATAAAGTTATGTACTTGACTTCGATCAAACACAAGTTTTAATTCTTAAGGTAAAACATATTTGTCTAATTTTATTTTTTTGTAGAAGAGACTTTTTTTGACTTTGTAAAAATGGGTTAGAGTATTTTTTTTTCAAATTTTTGCACCATCGAGATCGAGTATCTAGATTTGTGGTCGAGAAATAACTTTTTAGTTTTAACTGAACTGGTGTGCACTCTCCATTTTAGTTCCATTTGTGTCAATTTCTAGAGGTTTTTAATAGGCAAATTTAGAGGGTGTTTGACACCCATTTTTATGAAAAAAATGAATTTTAGAATAGTAAATTGATGGAGAATGTGTAAATGAAAAATAAGGAAATTTTTTATTTACGTATAATATTATTATTTTAATGAAGAATGTGTAATTAAAAAGAAGAGAGAAAAATGCATTTAGATGAGAAAATAAGAATCAAACGTCCTTTATCATTATTTGTCTGGGAAAAGAATTGGTCTTGTTTTTGTCAGGATTCAACTATCTTTTTATGCAATAACAGTAAATGGGGCACAAAAGAATTGGTTTTCCCGTGTTACTCTTTAGCCCGTTAACGCAAATTTCAACTAGAAGTACGAATTTTAATGAAATCAATTTAAGAATTCATTCTCTGTAAATTTAGAGTTAATAATATAAACTTTGGTCATTTCATTTAGTACATCCGGAATATTAAGGTCTTTTTGACATGACTTTTAAAAAGTCTAGAGCTACCATTAAGTTTATGAAATTGATTTTGAATGCGTTTAATAATTTTTTAAAAAGTGTTTGATATGACTAAAATAACTTTTAGATGAAGTTAACATAAGGCGATTTTCTAAAAAAACATTTTCTACAAGAAGCAGAAGTCGCACCGAAGGAGCCCTTATGTATTGTAAATTTTATATAATATGGACTATATATATCTACTTTCGACTCTACTCCAACAAATACCATTTCACCGAAAAAAAGAGATGTCAATATGCCGTCTATTTCCATTTAATACTACGTGCTAAATATGAGCTGGTTGTACATTAACAAGCTTTTATTTTAATAAAATTAACTCCACGAGCCCCTCGGGACACAGCTCAACTGGTGGATCAATCAACATTGTCTTGCTTCCAGCGGCAGGGTGGAGGGTTGGATTCCTAGTGAAAACCTACAGCCAAAAATTTGGTATGGAGCAATCACTGTGGAGGAGGGTCTCTTGTGCGCAGAAGTGTACAGGCAATGGGGGAACCTGTAATCCAGTTGAGGCATAACCCGCGATTTACCCCCTTCAAGGTTTTAGGGGCATGGGTCTTGGGGGGTCCAGGATTTAGTCTGGTATAAGCTGGGATACCTAGATATCAAAAAAAAAAAAAAAAACTCCATGAAACAGGATTATAATCCAGAGAATATCTCATATACAAAATCCAAATGGAAACGAATGATAATTAGGTTACAAACAGAAGCCGGCTTACAAATTCCAAGCCAAAAACAGTCAAAACAACACACTGTTGCTTATGTACTTTTACTAAGCCGGCTTAATATCAGTATTCAGTATACTAAACTCAAATTTTGTCTATAAAAACCCACATAATTTGCAGTTTCTGAAATGCCCTTTTTCATTAATCACTTGTTTTTTCCTTTGCAACATGAAATTTGTTAAACTTTTTTCTCTAATTTTGTTGTTTAGATTTGCATTAGCACATGAAGCCACCCTCAATAAAAAGGTACTGCATGCATGAGCCTATGTAAAATCTAGTTTGATTATAGTATTTTAGACTTGAGTCTATTAAAAGATCCACATGCATACTATGATTTTTTTTTTTTTTTTTTTATAACCATGAGTGTCCGAGCCAAGCATACTATGATTTTATAGCTACATATCTTACATGATGCGAGTAGAAATTCAACACATACTATAATTTGATATCCATAGACTGCGAGCATTTGGTACTGAAATTATATTGCACTAGATAGTACATAAAAAAAATGTTCACTATGTCAAATCTTGTCTGCTACTATACTGATATAACAAAATTATCCTTCAAAGTTTAAGTACTAATATTTCCTGTGCATGCTTACGAGTAAGGTGGATAATCTTGATTTTTCACAATCTTGCAGCATTACATAGTCTACAAGGGGCATAACTCCCAACACCCCAACTCAGAATCTGCCATTAAGGCCAACCTTGAAGTGCTGGCTTCAGTAACTGGAAGGTAACGATGCAATTCCCAGCAATCATATTCTAGTAAGTTGTTATTTTTGCTCGTCTAGTAAGGTGAATTGTAGAGTGCGGGACCTTATTAATAACTAAAACAAGCTGAAAATTTGTTAACTAAACTATCCAATCCTATCTAGTACTATGGTCTGTGTACCAAACAAGAAACTAAAATGCCGGTGAATTTGTTTTCAGCCATGGAGTACAAGATGCAGCACTTCACCATTATACAAAAACTTTCAGAGGCTTCTCTGCTATGCTAACAACAGATCAAGCTGCAAAACTTGCAGGTACCCTCTGATAACTAGAAGGTCTAATAACACGTGCAGGCATGTGCAATGAACCCGTTTGCCAGTGGAACATCTTATGGTCGTGCTTCTAGTAGAGACATTAAACATGCTAAAATTAAACTTAACTCGTATGATTGAAGATCAATCAAATTACAAGACTTCATATAGGTTTCCCTTTACCAAGGCAGCGATAATGATTCTGTATTGTCTAAATACCTCATTACAGTTTATGGCATTCTTAAATTTTCAGATATAACCTCGGTTGCTATTCTTTCAAGTACAATTACTACAAAATATAGAGGAATAATATATAACAAGAAGCCTACTCTAGCTTTGATTGTTTCATTGATTGCAGAGCACGATTCAGTTCTGTCTGTGTTTGAAAGCAAGACAAACAAGATCCACACGACACACTCGTGGGAATTTCTGGGCTTAAACAGATTGCAACGAAATAATCAATTTTCAATGCACTCAACATCTGACATAATTGTTGGTGTCATTGACAGTGGTAAAGTCGATATTTAATATTGTTTGAACCTTCTAATGCTCTTGAATCAACCACTATAAAATCACACTACCAATTATTTTACCTCCAGGTATTTGGCCTGAATCGAAGAGCTTCAACAGCTATGGATTAGGACCTGTGCCCGCAAAATTCAAGGGGGAATGCTCAACTGGAGAGAATTTCACATTGTCGAACTGCAACAGGTAGCTATCATTGTATAACCGCACAGTATATGATAAGCATACTTCAGAAAAGTTGATATACTACCGTCTGAATTCATTTTCAGAAAAATTGTGGGAGCTAGATTTTATTCAACAGGGTTTGAAGCAGAAAATGGTCCTCTAGAATCATTTGGTCTTACCTTTTTCCGATCTGCACGAGATAGTGATGGGCACGGAACCCATACTGCTTCCACTATTGCTGGCTCACCTGTCGATAATGTTAGCTTATTTGGAGTAGGGAAAGGCACTGCAAGTGGAGGTGCAATAAGTGCTCGACTTGCAATCTACAAGGCTTGCTGGTTCACTCTCTGTAGTGATGCAGACGTTCTTGCTGCTTTAGATGATGCTACTAATGATGGAGTTGATATTATATCCATGTCTCTTGGACCAGATCCGCCCCAACCTATCTACTTTGAGAATGCGATTTCAATTGGAAGTTTCCACGCATTTCAAAAAGGAATTGTCGTTTCTGCATCAGCTGGGAATAGTTTTTTTCCAAGTACTGCAACTAATGTTGCTCCTTGGATCCTTACTGTTGCAGCAAGCACCATGGACCGTGAAATTCAGACTAATATCTACCTAGGAAATTCAAAAGTCATAAAGGTAATTGATTGATAATTATTTACTTCCCTCACCTAATTCAAAACAAAGATTTCTGGTACTGATTTACAGGTCCATATGTTTAGGGATTCAGTATAAATCCACTTAAAATGGAGAGCTTTTATGGTTTGATAGCAGGGAGCTTCGCAACGTCTCCCGGAGTTTCCCCCCAAAATGCTAGGTATCATATTTATTTTTAAGAGAACTTCGGGTTCACTCTCGATAAATGCATACTCATGGAATATGTCAGCATCCCTGCCTAAAATTTTTACATGCTTCTCTTAATCATGTCGAAAGTATGAAGTGTCCTTAGGTACTTTAATAGGACTTTCTTAGGTACTTTAATAGGACTTTACACACTCAATAATTCCACTAATGATCTATTTGTTCTGAAATTTCTCTATTTTTATCGTTTCCTTGCAGTTTCTGTAAGAACAACACCTTAGATCCCAACTTGATCAAGGGGAAGATTGTTGTCTGCACACTTGAGTTACTCACTGATAACCGCAGAGAGAAGGGCATTATTGTAAAACAAGGTGGAGGTGTAGGGATAATACTCGTTGATCCACTCGCCAAAGATATCGAAATTCAGTTTGTACTACCAGGTACCATGATAGGTCAAGAAGAAGGAGCACAGCTGCGAGAATATATGACTGTACAGAAGTAAGTTGGATTTTTATCTAAATTGAAAAGAAAGAACCAATTTGTCAACTATTAATTACAAAGATATGTAACATTTACGATTTAATAGTCAAGCAGTAAAATACTTATTTGGTCGTTACAGGAATCCAGTGGCCAGATTATACCAAACAGTTACAGTTTTGCCCACTAAGCCAGCCCCCGAAATGGCAATGTTCTCATCAATGGGTCCAAATGTTATCTCTCCAGATATAATCAAAGTACATACTTTAACCTTTTGAAATTTCCCTATTGGAAATGCATTTAATGAGCTTTACAGTGAATATGAACAATAAAAATGAGGAAAGAGAAGCCCATTGTAATTTCCTTAATTTCTTAAAGAAAAATTTCACATACCTGAACGCAACAACCTTGTCTTCTGATTTCAGCCCGATATAACAGCACCTGGAGTGAATGTTTTGGCAGCATGGTCTCCAGTTGCTACCGATGCTACTGCTGGTAGATCCCTTGACTACAACATAATCTCTGGTACTTCCATGTCTTGTCCACATGTTTCTGCACTAGCTGCCATTGTAAAATCCTCTCATCCTTCATGGAGCCCTGCAGCAATAAAGTCTGCAATAATGACAACAGGTAACTTTTGATGATTAAAAAACAGATAACCGGTTAACATAATACATCCATTTATTCATTTTCATGTAAGCGTGATTTTTTTTGGAACAGCAACAATTCTTGATAACACTCGGAGCTTTATCAGAAGACATCCAAATGACACTCAGACCTCACCTTTTGACCATGGATCAGGCCAAATAAATCCAGCTGCAGCAATTGATCCTGGTTTAGTTTATGATTTGGATTCTACCGACATCATTGATTTCCTCTGCAGCACTGGTGCAAGTCCTGCTCAGCTGAAAAACCTTACTGGTGATACAATGTATTGCAAGAACAATCCCACATCCCCTTATGATTTCAACTATCCTTCAATTGGGGTCTCTAATATGAAAGGAAATCTGTCGGTGCATAGAAAGGTGACATACATCGGTAAAGGGCCAACTGTTTATAAAGCAAAAATGGACTACCCGGATGGTGTAAAAGTCTCAGTCATACCTAGTGAGCTCAAATTTAAAAATCCAGGTGAGAAAATGTCTTTTAGGATAGAGTTTACACCCTACAAGACTAGTAACGGAGACTTTGTTTTTGGGGCCTTGACTTGGACTAACGGGATCCACAGGGTAAGAAGTCCTATTGGTCTTAATATACTCTCAGTTTAGGAACCAAATTTAATCATATGTATTAAACAATTGAGAAGTTTCTGGGATTACATATTGCAAGGGATGATACCTTTCAGAAGGAATTAAATTGTAACAGGCATTTCAATTATAACACCAAAATCATACCAGCATGAGCTACACAACTTTAGCTAACACCGTATTAAGCATTTAGCATCATTTACGAAATGGACACCTTCATTCAGACACGTAAAATTTTGCCCAATGATTAATGATAGCTCTTTAACCGCATTATTTTTTGATAAAAACTTAAAATGAGAATTTCTTTCTTTCTCCTTTTTCCTTAAACCTACCTTCTTATGTTGAAAGTATGCATTTGGTAATATTGACATTCCACTGGCAGATTTGACATAAGCATGTTTAACCGTACACGGTACATACCCATAATAAACACTAGTTCAGGGATCATGGCGTCTATGATAGATGTCTTCACAACTCCCAGACTGTGCTTTTCTGTAGAAACCGTACTCACTCAAATATGTAAATTTAAGCAATTCAGAAAGCCAGACAACCTGTTTCGAGTGCAGTTGTAGATGATGGATGGTAATATATGTCTCTTAATCTACGGAAAACAAGACAACTGCTTAAAGTACAACATTCTTGAATATATTCACCTGGGTTCTGAAATGGAAACACTTTCATGTAAATATGAAGATAACCTTTTGAATTCTAGTTATGTTGATGGCAACAGGAAGACGAAAATCTAAACTTAAAACTGATAGTAGAAAGAATTCCACTGTTGTTCATAGCAATGTGAAGAACCACAGAATTTCTTCTGGGAAACAAGGCAAGCCTAATATTTTGTACCCAAACAACTGTGCAGTTTCTCTTTTTCCTTGTAAGTTTATTATTTGCATTGCTAATCTGGTTAGAAAAAAAAAAGGTGGAATCAGATTAGGAAAAGAGAGCACTGCTCACAATTACAGCATTACTATATCCTGATTTGATTGAGCTTGCATGAAATTGTTTCCCTTGCTCTGTTGCTGCCATGGGTGAAGCACATGCATTGATTATACTAGAGAAGCTATACTCATTTGGCCTGACACCCTCCTTGGCCAATTGGCAGAAAACTCCTACAGCTCTCTCAGGGTCTCCTCCTTGGGCAAATCCAGCTAACATTGCAGACCATGCAACAACATCCTTCTCTTCTATTAGTTCAAAAACTTTTGCAGCTTCACTAGTTTTTCCTATCTTAATATAAGCATCCAGTAACGCGGTTCCTACTGAAGTTGATTTCTCATAATTGATTTTTATGACTTCCGCATGCACTTGAAACAATGAAATCCAGGGATGAACTGTGAGCACTGTTGAATAAGTGAAATGATTTGATCTAACGCCTTCTGTCCTCATTTGATGAAAGAGATCTACTGCCCGCTCTGGTCTGCCATTCTGTAAGTATCCCCCAATGATTGCTGTCCACGTTACCACGTTCTGGGCTCCACCCATGGTAGAGAACAACTTAAATGCATCATCCATTTCACCCCCTTTCATGAAGGAGACAAGTAGAGCTGTTTGAATGTTATCATAATTTCCAAACCCGCTCTTAACAACTTGACAATGGATCTGCCTGGCAAACTTCACTTCCTTGAGGTTAGCACATAACTTAATAACCGTAGCAAAAGTTGTCTGCGTCAACTTTACATTGGCAAGCATCATGCTATAGAATAGATCAAGGGCTTCCAACTCAAGTCCGTTCATTACAAGACCTGCAATCATCCCATTCCAAGAAACCACATCCCTCCACTCCATTCTGACAAACACACCTATAGCCTCTCTAATCATCCCACACTTAGAATACATATTGACCAAAGAGTTTCCCACAGACCTAGTCACCTCATAACCATTCTTAATAACTATGGTGTGCACTATAACTCCCCCTTCTATAGCTCCCTTATCCGCCAAAGCTCCAAGAATGGTTGCAAAAGTAAACGGATTCGGCTCGATACCCTCTACTTGCATAACATTAAAAACTTCTATCACCTTATCAATAGCACCCTTCTGTGCATAACCTGCAAGTAACGAAGTCCAAGTGACCACATTCTTCTCTTCCATCTCATCAAACACTATTTTCCCATCATCTAAATTCTCATTCTTAATATACATATCAACAAGTGACGTGCCAACGCTAACATTTCCAAAAAACCCACTTTTAATACATTGACAATGCACTTGTTTTCCAAAAACACAATGACGCAAGCTTGCGCAAACCTTTATTATACAGGAAAGGCTAGACCCGTCCACTAAAAAACCCGAGCCATGAATACCTGCATAAAGGCTTAACGCCTCTTGGTTAAGACCATTGCGAGAGTACTCAAAAAGCAAGTGATTATAATACGAAATGTCTCTTTGAGGACAAATATCGAATGTATTGTGTGCATTGTGTGTATGAGATGGAGCAAAAGGCTCGACCACGATATCAGAATCAATAGCAATGGCATACGAGTGCGACAAGTGAAAAGGTTGAAATGGGTTTTGGAGCCTGGATATAGTTTTGAGTTGTCTTAATCTTGGAATCATGGTCGTGTGTATATATGAGTTGTTCAATAACGTTGTGAGAAAGGCACTAATTTTGAAATTTGTTGCCAATTTGTAACGGATGGGGTCAAGTAATTATTTGACCCGTGTTGTGGAGTTTGGGTCGTTCGGGAGGCATGCGGTGGGCTTAAAAACTGAATAATGTTACCATTGGTGTTATAACATAAGTTTAAATAATGTTAAGTGATATGATCAACGATTGATAAAATTAAGTATCTCATTTAATTATGTGAAAATTACACAAAACTATAGATTAACTATTCAAAATTCCTAAATCAGACTGAAACTTTAATATTTCAAAAACCAGATTTTTTATTAATTATTTAAATAAATTAATTACAAAAAAATAAAAACCCTACCCAGCCTTCACTACCCACTACCATCTCTTCCCTTTTCCTTGCTCGTCTCTCTCTCTTTGTCCCTCACACTCTTCTCTAGTGGCGATCTCATCCCACCTACGGCCACCACCACGACCGCGACAACCACAATCACTATCACCATTACCACCACCAAACCTCTCAAAACCACGATCGTCGTCCAACTGTTGTGAACTCGCCATCGCTGGGAGGCTATTGCGAACTCGCTGTTGCTGGAAGCCATTATCGAAAATCACCGCCAATGAGATCGTTACACGATTTGATGTTTGCTGCTGTGAGATGTGGTGGGTCTGTTGCGTGATCCTCCTTGCTACATCCCAAATTTTTTTCCTGATTTTGGTGGCCGAAGGGTTTCTGTGTTATTCGATTGTGGTATGATTTGGGTGCGGTGTTGTATTGTGTTTTGTTGTGTGCGATAGATGCGAGGTGGTGGCGGTGTTTGACGGTAGTGAGATGGTGGTTTTGGGGGGTTACAGTGGTTTAAGTGGAGTTTAGGTGATGGCGATGATGTTCGACAGTGGTAAAGATGGTGCAGATAGTGGTTTTGTGGGTTACAGTAAGTGGGGGTTTGGGTGATGGTCATCGTGGTCGTGGTGATGGTGTTGGTGTGAGGCTGGGATAGTGGTGGCGATGATTTGGGGCGGTTGTGGACGGTGACTATGACTCACAGTTTGGTGTTGGTGTGTAGCGGCGACCGTGGTGGCGATGAAAAATTGTGATTGTGACTCACAATTGGATACGTGACCTGAAAATTGTGACCGTGACTAACAATTATGATTCACAATTGGATACGTGACCTGAAAATTGTGACTGTGAATCATAAGTATTGTGATTGTCACAAATTATTTGGTTGACTGTGACAATTAAATTCGTTAATCTGTGACCAATAAATATTATGTGACCTGTGAAAAAGATAAGTTGTTATCGAAAAATAATGTGACCTAAAAAATTATTAATCTGTGACCGATAATTTGTGACTATATAATAAGTTATAACTTGTAATATTTGTGATTTGTGACCATTAAATAAATCGTGACTTATAAATTTTTTGACCGATGAACAAAATGTGACTTATAAAATTTTTGAATTATGACCATAAAATAATTTTTGACATAAAATTTTTAATTTGTGACCAAATTATATAAATCTATGACTTAAATATATTTAATTACTAAATTAATTAATTAAATTATAAATAACTTTTAATAAAAATCTAATTTTTGAAATTTGAAACTTGTTTTCTTGTTTTTGAAATGTGTCATAACTAATCTCTTACATATGAGATTTTCCCTTTAATTATATATTTCATTTTGGGATGGCAGCGAGACAGTTTCAGGATGGGACCCAAACTTCATCCAGCCCCACGCTAAGACAGGGTGAGGCGGGATGGGGTGAGAACATGGCAGCTTTTTGCCCCGTTTGATGCCCCGTTTATTATTTATTTATTTTTATTTTATTTTATTTTATTTTCAAAATTTCGGGTTGTGTTATTATTAGGAAATAAAATACAAATTCGAAATGAATTTTTAATAGATGAATTGTCTATAAATAAAATTATTTATAATTTATAATTTTTTTCCCTCTTCACGGGGCGCCCCACACCACCCCGCGAACCGATTGAGATGGGACAGGACGGATTTTTTCGCCATTACTAATTTCATTTAATATCATATTAATATCTAATGCTTAGCATTAAATAGCTTGCCTAATTAATTAGCATCATCATTCAACTCAAGGACTTTAGGAACCAATAATATATTATTTTCTCGATTCTAAATGATAGAAAGTGAGTAAACCTTTTTTCTCGCTAAACTGTTAGTTCATCTAAATTTTGTTTACTTATGTTTTTTTTTTTTTTTTTTATCTATAAATTT